ATCGCCAAACGAGCCAGTCGATGACTTCGGTGCATACGACTGTGAGGTTGGCCAAAACTGCGGATCCGGCGACAAACAATTCGCATTACAATCTCATCATAGACTTCAAACTATTGGTCCGCAACTAACCTTGTGAACGAGAAGCGGTCCTGTAGAGTAAAAAGCCCAAGGCAGCGATTTCTATATGGGGTCGTTCTTCTGACATGCCCTGTACCTCTAGCTCTTCGTATACGACCTTCCTGGTTCCATGACCGACCACAAACCACAACCGTGTTTAGACTTCTGAGCACCCTGGTGGCTATTACTCTTAAGGACCAACCAACATCGCACAAGGACACTATTCACCGCTATCAAACTCTAGTCTTTCTAGTCTTTTCACTCTAGGCATAATGAACAGATTATGATAGCTCTTCACAACCTACTGTATGATGATCAAGCAAGAAAAATACGAGAAATGTGATTGTGGAATCGATTGTATTTTGACTCCACGCGAGTGTTTCTCAGTGGCAGGTGACTCGCCGATTAGAGCAGTTGTGCCTGGTATTTACTACTGAGCCTCAATATGAGCCGTATATGGACGAAAGAACTAGAATTGGCATTCCTAGAGTATTTTCAAGCAGAACCGATTTTATAAATTACAAATTTAAAAGAATTTAAAAATAAACTAAAAGCCCACGATGCGTGGAAATGTCTTAGTACCTTGATGGAATTACCCAGTGGAGAATTCAAAAGCAAAAAAAATCGCTATCAGCCAGCTACAGAGAGTATAAAAATAAAGTCAAGAATTCGAAAAGATCTGGTGCTGTTGTCGACGACATTCAGTGTTGCGCCCATCATCATCGAGCACGAGAACTTTATTGAGAATCTTGCGAGTGTGGACTCAATGAAGTTCTAGCCGAGATTTTCGTTGAGATTCTTGCCGAGATTATCGGCGAGATTCTCGCGTGAGTGTGGAGTGGCTTTTAATAATTGTAGCTATAAAACAGAACTGCCGCTTACTCACGTTTTTTTGTAAGAAGAGAGGACGTTGCAAAAACCACCTTATCGATATGGTTGAAAATATGATCGTTTTTGTCGTAGCCTAAAGAAACATGTACCTAGAAAATCTGTAATAAATTCATAATTATGGGTCTTTATTTACCAACAAATGATGTAAATGTTCATATTAGTTAGGGCCTAACAACTTTCCTTCGTAATTTTTTTCTGTATGTGAAAAATGTCTCTTGTATCCAATAGCTTCGTGCTTAAGCTTAAAAATAATTCAAATAAGTTGCAGATAGTTGCATGAACAGCACATTATCTTTCAAAAATAATCGTTGTAGTTTAAATCCATAAAGCGCTATACTGCACCCATATTTCTTCATGAATGCATTGTAGCGGAAAATGCTGAAACCTCGCTTAACAGCAATTGAAATGAATGTGCGGTTATGAAATGTGACACGTATATTTTCTTTTAATAGAGCTCAATTAAGTACGTGCATACGATATCAAGTCGCTTGCAGGTTGCTAACCGCTGCAATTCTTATGTGCTTGCTCACACAGCCGCACAGGATTTTTATATTTTCATCACAGTTTCTAACGACCCACACGTTACTGCTCATTACTCATGTTGTCCTACGTAAGCGTGAATGTTTTAGAGTGAAGCCTCGAATTCTCACTAGCTGAGAAGTTCACTTAGAGCCTTGAATTGGAATAAAAAACACGTATGGCTATTATATTGAATACAGGTTTCATCCCATAGTCTTTGTGAGGAGTGGCTCGGACGCCGTCTTAAAAAATTATTTGTATCTTTTTTGCTGAGTATAGCTGCTGTCAAGCTAGGGTGGCTATGGCTTTCGACGGGATCAAGTAACAAGTTGCTGAGCAGTAGAAGTAGCATAGGATGAAATGGTGATACGACCCAGTCAAGTTTCCATTAAATGAAAGAAACAAGGCCAGTGCTCGATAGGACAGCTAGTCACAATTCAAGTTTCTCAGCTATAAGGCTCACTGCTGACAACTTATATAAGCGAAGCAACTTCATGCATGAAAGTAAGGTCACTTCCAGATAAATTTTTGACTGAAGGAATGCTTAAAGCTTCTTAATAAGGAAATACATTTATTTCAATTGTTGTTGAGCGAGGTTTAAATATTTTCCACAACATGAAGGCATATGGTTGAGGTATGGTGTAGTTTGGCTCTAAATTACAGCAATAATCTGAACATAATGTGCAGCTTCTGTAACTATCTTTACCGTACTACTCTATTTCAGTTACTTTTACGGTCTGCGTTTAAAATATACGGCAATATTTCAGATTCATGTTGAACACCGAAAAGAAGATAGCAAAGTTCCTTATAAGGAATGTTATCTAAAAAGAATAAGAAAGAGAGTAAGTGATTCTGAACGAGAGGATACTTTAAACCATTGACTTGAGTGCAGTAGATGGATAAGGGACTGGAATTGACGTTTGATGAAAGGGTTATCCCTGACAATTTTGTCGAGTGAAGTGGACTGCGATGATAGAATTTTTGAGAGAGATACTCGCGATGCAGCCATTTTGTGACATGCATGATGTGTGCCATACAAACAAAATTCGATTAGTATTTATTGAAAAAGGATACTGAGCGGAAAATAAAATCATTATTATTTCTGTTTCCATTAAAACCTTTTTTATATTCTCCTCTGTATTGGGATTTTTTTATATTATTAGTAAGCTTTTACTTTGTAGTTTAGCATCCGTTGGATAAGTGTATTCCTCTCATATCCATTTTATTTGCAGTAACGAGTTTCCAGTACCTAGCTAATTTGATTCATGTATCTCATCGATTGCGCTATGGAATTCACGATAAACTGCTTTTAAAATGAATAACTTTATGGCTATTATATTAGAATATATTTTCACTCAAAGCTCCGTACTTCCCAGAAATATTACAAAAGATATTCACAAAATATTGGGGAAAATTCGAGGCGTGTTGATCGAATACAACTTTCATAAAACACAAATCACTTGATTTCCAAAGAAGTAATTAATCTATATCACCATATACGGACTAACCTTTTGCAGAACTGCTGATTTCTTTACACCCTGTATAATAATAGCTCCAGATTTATATTTTTCGAAAGCTCAATTCTCCAGCTTAAGAACTGCATTTTGTTTGATTTTGAGAAAAAATTGGTTCAACGTTAATGTACAGCGATACCGACTGCGTTATATTTTGAAAACTCATTTTGGCACTTTAAGTGGATGTACATGTATAAAATTTTCAAACCCCATGTTTAATTTACTCTCATATTTGTCGGACCCCAAGAAAATACCACGTTTTGTGGGGCTATGTAATAAGTCGTTTGTTCGTGACTCATAAAATTGGTTTTATTTAATGACAATATTGGAAAACTATTGTAACTATTGAGATAAAATATTTTTTTCACATTGATATAATTGATTCTTTTGAAAGTCGCATGAGATAGTTTAAGGATGAAATAGAATCTATGTAAGCTAAGCAAAGGGCAGAGTGCTACACTATATATTCATATATGAATATCAGTCCAGCTTGTTAGCATCTGAATCAGAATTCAAGAGACGTAAACATTTTTAAACTTACTCGACAATAGCGAGGCCTGCCTTCTCCTGTGATCAACAAGGGATACGTGCGCTTTATTTTACACTGTTCGATCACGTTTTGTTTCTTTGTTGTCATTTGTAGGGACAGTCATCATGCATACTTGGGCTTGGTCACATCAGTAGTGAGGCTTCTAAAAAGCTAGTTATACATGTAGGGTGTCTCAATAAAAGCACCGGATTTGATTTTCAAGGAAAACACAATTCCTTTTCGAATTAAGCGATTATTTATATTTCAACATGAAGCGGAATAGTTGCGATTAATCATGAAATAGGACATCCGGTAAATGGCCACCACGAAGCACAGGGGCAGTCTTTGGCTCTATTTCTTCGATAACGCGCCGTATCTCTTCTTTAAGGCATTCAACTGTTTGTCGCTTGTTCACATACACCTTTTCCTTTACATAGCCCCACAGTAAGAAGTCTATTGGCGTTAGATCGCACCATCTTGGTGGCCAATTTTGATCGCCAAACAGAGAGATGATATGGTCTGGAAAATTGGTCCTCAGTAACACGATTGTTTGGCGTGCTATGTGGCAGGTCGCACCGTCTTGTTGGAAGAACATAACCTTCACATCACAAAAACTCGGTTAACATTTCGCGATACCGCATACCATTAACAGTTACCGTAGTTCCAGTTGCATCTTCGAAGAAATACGGTCCAATCATTCCCCCACTCCACAATGCGCACCAAACGGTAAGTCGCGGCGGATGCATTGGTTGTTCGATTATTACACGAGGGTTTTCAGAACCACCAATTCGGCAGTTCTGCTTATTGACTTACCCGTTCGGTTGAAAATGTGCCTCATCGGAGAAAATGATTTTCTTCGAAAAAATCCGCATCAATTTGGTGGTGCTTGAGCGCCCTATCAACAAAGTCACGGTGCTGTGCATGGTCCGTTGGCTTGAGTTCTTTCGGCAGCTGAACCTTTTACGCATGCAAGCACAGATCTTTTGTCACAATTGGTTGCAGAGTGATTCTGGTAAGGTTCAATTCTTGCTCACGATACCGAATGGAAATGCCTGGATTCTCGGCCACACTTTCCCGCACCTGCGATTATATTTTCGAGGGACCGACCTGGACGGCGAGGAATAGTGGTCTTCGCATTCAGCAACGTGAATTTGGTCTCAAATTTTATAATTAAACGGCGAACTATTGCGACCGAAAATTGTACGTAATTTGCGAACTGTTTCCGCGTAATTTTATCCATTTTTCACAATAATTAAACGTTACTCGTTTGAATAATGCTCCATGAGGTCTAATCGCGTGGTTTGGATATGACAGCTGTCATCAAGTAAACACCATATCATTTGTACAAAAAAATGATGGCAGATTCAAATCCGGCGCTCTTGCTAAGACACCCTTTTATATACGTTGTTGAAAATAAATGCCTTTTGTAATCAGATAAAATAGGGATCACCCTCGTTAAGATTTCTTGGCAAGATATTGATCAGCTTCGATCTTGTTACAGGTTCTATCAGCAACATCGACGGTGGCGAATACCACTGCAGCAAGAGCCAAGTGCGGAAAGTTATCTCCGGGGTCGTCGGTGCCGCCAGCAGCGTCACCTCCATCCAAGTCGCTAATTTACTGCGCCTCTTCAAGATACCGCAGGTAAATGCAGGTGCAGCTGATGCACCGGTTATTAAATTTTGCACAGCTGCAAATATTTGCATACGAGGACTAATACTATGAGGAGGAGATGTGTTAAGGATTGTTCATAGGGTGCCGCTAGTGTCGTGATATACAGGTTGTCCTAAAAGTTGAGACATGTTTTGCGTGTAGTTGACTCTGTTTAATTCAAAAACAAGAGTTTGTTTACCTCTTCCTAAATTTGGAACATTTGTGGCTGTCTAGGTCTTCAACTGTGTTCAACCAGACGGCTTTTGCACTGTATAAACAATCACATGCAGCTCTGATGAAAAGAAACGTCAACTCTCTGAGTACACTCGCGGAGTATCAATATGATCATAAAGATGCTCATATCAAATCGATACCTACGTTATTACTCTTGGAATGTGCAAATTTTGGTTTTTCAAATGAGGTTTGCTTATAATCTCAGAGGGGAGACTGGCAGGAACGTACTGGCCCATTTATTGCATTTAGGAACCGAATATCCAGGTTCTTCTGGTTTTGGTCGATATTATGTTACTAACAAAAACATGTCTATTATTTCTTCACCTATACGCACAACATACATTTTAATGGGAATTGATCAGGTAATGGTGGATTGCGATGAATTATGGGGCATTGCGGTGAATTTAGCTAAAGCATATTTGCATATCTAGTTGAACATTTTCAAAATATTGTTGTATGTGTATGGTGAGCAAGATGCATCAAATGCCTGCTTCTTGGTGCAAGTCCTCCTAAAGAAGATGGCACAACCACTTAGGCTTGGAATTCAGAATATTAGACTTTTCCTACCAAAAAATGCAAGCTGCAGACAATTTTTTTGCAGATAACGACAGCTATATAGCTACTATGTTCGATGGCGAGTAGACCGCACTTACTATAGCACCAGAATCGGCGGTATCTAGCGGGCTGAGTGGTGACCCGGCTGACAATGCGAACTGGGTTAGTCGATAAAGAAGGAATTCAATACAATCAAAGAACTTGTAATTATAAAGTCTTTTTAAAATTATTTACGACTTTTTAGTTCGGTTAGTTATAAAAACGTGTTTTAGTAGTTTTTTTTTAACTATTATTTATTATGAAAAAATTCCAACGGTTTCAGTAATTTATTTTCATTGACATGTTTAACGACAATGTATGTTGAAGGTATTGAACAAATCAACATTTTGGTTGACGTAAGAGCATTTCGCATATAATAAGTAAACATGACGTTGCTAAGTGATGTGCCCATATTTTAGAGTGTTGTTCTTTAGGTCATTTCAAGAAGCTAAAGCTCATACCAATATGTATCCACTTGCTTTTTAATACAGGGTGGCGCATCAAAAACGAAACAGACGCATTTACTGGCAACTCAGTTTTTTTTTCGAAAAACGCTAAGACTCGTCGATTTTGTTTTCGAGGGGGACAAAAGTTTGGAAAAAAATCACGTTAACACGTGGAGGCCCCTGGGCGGGGGTGACACCGACCCTAAAACCTTAAATGGAAAGGGGAGTCGAGTGATACCTTACTTTAAAGGTCCTTCAATTCCCTTTATAATGATGTAAAATACATGAGCTTCAGTTCAGTAGTTTTGAAGATTTATTGATTTAAAGCTTAAAGTAGACTTTAATAGGTACATCAGATTAGTTTGTACTACTTTCAGAAGAAATTTGAATAAAAGAATTTACTTAATAAGTAAATGCTTTTCTACACTACGCCCATGGTTTGTTTATCATTTTGTTGTTGAAAATAGCTATTGGAGCGTTTTTTGTGGAAAAAAAGTTATTTCTTGAAGAAAGATAAGGAAATATCTCGTACTTATCTTAACCCTTAACTACGGACATACATTTTTTATCCTCTAACACGGACAAGGAGTCTGACAGACTCCTATTAATGTATGCAATACATTTTTCTTTTTACAAAAAGTATGCTGATTTTTTCTTCATAAGTAAAACAAAATACATCTCATACATCATGTTTATTATCAATATTTTGAAAATACTATAAAATTATGCAAAAAAACCACGAAATAATTGGCGCATTCCATTTTGTTACAAATGCTAAACATACAAATAAAAAGCAACGCTAATATTAACAAAACATATAAATCAACAGTTATTTGAATTTAAACCTTATACTATAAGATCCCACAAACGGTAAAATAGTAAGAATAGGGCTGTAAACTTTAATATAAAAAAACCTGCACGAGGTGAATGTTTCATATATTTTCTAGAGTTTGACAACAGTTTATACAAGATTTTCGCGAACACTGCAGACATATTGGCTTTTTGCAGTTCGCACATGTATAGGCAGTCTTTCTTTTTAGCTTCGAGGGGCATATATAACAATATTTACGTGTATGTAGGCGTTCCTCAGTCACAGGTGTTGGCTCTTCTTGATGTAAAACGCGACAGATTAAATGTTTCAATTCTCTGTGTAACATTGGCATCTCCAATCTGTTACGCACATGTTTTTCAATTAACTGATCCGCCAATATTTTCACAAAATTGAAACGTGTTATATCATTTCCCGGGAAAGAGGAATACATAATGAAAGAATTTGCGCTACAAATATCTATCAGTTTATAAAAGATAGCCATTGGCCACCTTCTAGTACGGCGACTACATGTATATTTTGCAGTTTTTTCATCCATTCCATCCACACCTCCTTTAGTGGAATTATAAAAGGCGATCATTTCAGGTTTATTGGATGTCTCATCGATTGTTTCGCTGTGATGCATGGTAGATAAAAGAACTACTGCTCTATTTTTCTTGGGAACATGTGAGATTATTGTAACATCTTTCGTAAACCCATAAAGTGTTTCACCCAATTTGCGTTTTCTTGCAGGTAAAAACTCAGTGGGAATCTCCCTTTTATTCTTTTTTAGTGTTCCCACAAATGTAAGGCCATTTTTTAATAGGTATTGGGCAAGCTCCATAGATCCAAACCAATTGTCGGCCGTTATGTTCCTGTTTGAGTGAAAAATAGTCTTAGCGAGCCGGATAACTGCCTGAGATGGTTTACTGAGCTTTTTCTCTTCTTCTGTTAGACCACGACCATCGCTGTCTTTACCACCATAAATGTATGCATTATATAAATACTGTGTTCTTGCATCAGTCATTGCTATTATTTTTATCCCATACTTCTCTGGTTTGGATGGGATATACATTTTAAATTTACACCTTCCCCTGAATCCCACCAACATTTCATCTATGCAAGCTGTTGCGCCAATTGTATATGAACATCTAGCATTCTCGCAAAACATATCAAACAGCTCACTAATAGCTGCTACTGGATTTACCTTCTTTCTTTCTTCTCTGTCCTCTGGATTATCAAATCGCAAAGCCACTAACAAAATGGAGAAACGCTCTTGAGACATAACAGCTCGGAATACGTCCCTGCCTCTACCGTCTGTTGCAAAAATACTTCTTACATCTTCATCGTTACTTTTGAAAATTTCGGTGTACAATAACAATCCTAAAAAGGCATCTAATTCGTCATTGTCAATATCTGCTAGCTCCGGTTTATTTTCTCTTTTGTATTTTCTTCTCATAGAAGCTAATTTTGCATTTGTCCAAACTATAACCAAGTCATACATTTCAGGAGAAAATAATTTTTTGAACAATTTAATAGGGCTCTTTTCATAATTTCCAGTTAGTCGAACTGCTGGAAGTCGCAAAATGTTATGTGCTGGTGTTCGTACTCTTCGTTCTGGCTCGCGTCGGCTCCATTTGAATCTATTTTTTCCATACAGGTATTTATTTTCTCGTTTACGTTCATTTCCTGATCTGTTAGGTTCTAACACCTGTTCACTTCCGATAGTAGCATCATCTTCGCCACTGGAAATATCCATGTCTTCGTCATGTTCAATCTCGTAATCAGGATCATCGTCAGACGCCTCTTGCTCGCTTGTTGACTCATGTTCACTCTCAATGAACACATTTTCATCAGGTTCAATATCACTGTTTTCATTGTCTACCTCATTGAACCATCTCATGGCAATTTCCTCAAAGTTAGGATCCAAAACATTAATTCGTTTGGAAGAACTTGGCCTAGAAGTCGCCATAATAAAATATCACTATACTGACGTTAACACGGACAAGGAGTCTGTCAGACTCTGAAATGTACGTAACTCCAAAATCAAAAATAAATGCTAAGTAATCACCTCAACACGCTGTAGCAAAGTGAAAAAGCGGAAGCTACTCGAAGCGGCGTTGACCTTGGGTGTTTTTTGTTGTGAGTACGGTACGATATTTGCGCGGCGGAGTCTACGAGACTCCATGTCCGTAGTTAAGGGTTAAATAGGAATTTAGTACATAGTTTGCGATTGATTTGACTAAAATTTGTTGCTAAAATAACTTGTAACGCTTTATTACATAAATTAACCATGGCATATTCCACAGCAGAAAGAGTTGAAACTATCGAAATATTTTTCGGAAATAATCAGTGCGCTAATAGAACAGCAGAAATATTTAATGAGCGACATGAGAACAATAACATGCATCGAATATATGTTCTAGAACTTGCAGCTAAATTTCGGGAAACTCTATCAGTCGCCAATAAAAGACGCAACATTGAAAATCCCATAAGGAACGAAGCAACAGAAGTGGGGGTTTTAGGGCAAGTTTATGTAGATCCTACGTTAAGTACCCGCAAATTCGAGACTGTGTGTGGTGTTAGTCGGCGTACTGTCCAACGGATTCTAAAGGCCCATAGTTTTCATCCGTATAAAATTCACGTGGTACAAGAACTTACTGAAGACGATTTTGATCGGCGATTACAATTTTGTGAAGATATGAGTGAACGAATTATAAACTATGAACATTTTCTATTCAACACTTGCTTTTCCGACGAATGTTCCTTTTTCTTAAATGGCGTAGTAAATCGTCATAATTGCCGATATTGGTTCGATTCTAATCCCAGAATTTATCATGAAGTTCATACACAGCAGCCACAAAAATTAAATGTTTGGGCTGCTATTTTTGGCGATCATTCAGTTGGTCCTTTTTTCTTACCTGGAAATTTGACCGGTGAAATGTATTTGGAATCATTAGAAGACGCCATAGATCCTGCATTAACGGCCATAATTGAAAATCAGAATGATCGGCGGTACATTGCGAATAGGTTGATGTACCAACAGGATGGTGCCCCACCACATTACGCATTACGTGTTCGACAATATTTAGATCAGACGTTTCCAGATCGATGAATTGGTAGAAGAGGTGCCACTGAATGGCCCCCAAGTTCGCCAGATTTATCACCTTTGGATTTCTTTATGTGGGGTCATTTAAAAAGCAAAATCTATGCTACTCAGCCAACATCATTAGAAGACCTGCGACAAAGAATTGTGAATGAGTGCCTTCAAATTACTCCTCATATATTGCAAAATGTGCGGCAACGTTTTGAGCAAAATCTTTATTATTGCATGGAGAGTCATGCTGGCCATTTTCAACATTTACTTGCCTAACGGGTCAGTTCATTCTTTATTTTTAAATTAATTTGCTACCAAATGTATTGATATCCACTAATGATGATGTATTAGTTTTATTTAAGCTTTAAATCAATAAATCTTTAAAGCTACTGAACTGAGGTACATTAATTTTATATCAATATAAAGGGAATTGAAAGACCTTTGAAACCCCTTTCCATTTAAGATTTTGGGGGTGGTGTCACCGCCGCTTAGGGGTCTGCACGTGCTAACGTGATTTTTTGCCAAGCTTGTGTTCCCTCGAAAACAAAAGACGGGTCTGAGCGTTTTTCAAAAAAAACTGAGCTGCCAGTAAATGCCTCTGTTTCGTTTTCGATGCGCCACCCTGTATATATAATTAAGGTACCACTTACACTCCCTATGATGTCCCAGCTGTAGAATATACGTTGTAACATACTGCATATGTATGATATTTGAGGATATGCTCTTTCCAGGAAACCAGCGCAGACTCATGACATACCAATACAATATAACGCAACAAACGGCTGTTGAAACCGCTGATATCTTCAGAAGCACCAGTTATTCACAGTTTCTCGAATACACCACTCATTTTCGTACAATTATATGTGGGAAGTATATACTTAACTCCGTAGCTTTTGGTCCAATTCCCTCGATAGTTATCATATTCGCCTTCGTTTTCCTTATCAAGAAATTGCTTTTGAACTTTCATGCATGGCATCTCGTTATAGACTTTGCGAACAGATAATTATATTACATAAATCAAACTTCGTGGGAATCGAAACTCTCCCAAGGATTTCGAATAAGCAACGTTCGACTGCGCATTGTTTCCAGAACGTAGGATCCCCCTGCTTACAGACTAATACCCTGCCTCATCATAAAACCGTCTATGCAAATATATTTATTAAGTGTCAAGCTGGAATCCTATTCCCGTACAACAATGTGCCATGATATTAAAAATTGCTCAGCCGTATTTTACCCATCAACTTCACTATAACCCCAAATCCAGATTATCTGGAGCGTGCTTTCCAGGTTATTCGTGGGACACCCCCCAACTAGCAAAATGCTGCTATAAGTTTTTGGCACAAGAACTCTGTTGTTGTTGCCGGAACACCAAAATGCTGGCTTAATATTGTGTGAAATGCAAAATTGCTTCCACCTTATTGGATAAATTCAGAACTGTTGCACAAAGGTTTATGCAACTATTTTATACAGCATATTAGCTTCTTAGTCAAAATGGTTGTGTTATGGAATCCAAGGTTAAATTTATACAACAAAATCGAATTACTGTTGATGTCACGTGTTAACGTGATTTTTTGCCAAACTTGTGTCCCCCTCAAAAACAAAATCGACGGGTCTGAGCGTTTTTCGATGCGCCACGCTGTATATAATGGCTCTTTATTACGCAGGTATTATCAAGACAGTGCTATCATTAATACTAACTTTGATATCCGGCTTTGTAATACCGTTGATAATATACTGCATTACATTTGAATAGTCATTTTATATTTTCTAGCACTAAATCAATATATAATCTATATCTGTCTTATAATATAAAATGAACGATTTCATGATAAATAGATAGATCTAACCGCAAAGAAGTAAACCGAAATACATCAATATTTCTCTTTTATTTTGTTTTTATTTCGAAACAGTCGGTCTGACTGTCGCCCGGTCTATCCGCTAACCATTGACTACACTATAACTTGGAAAATAACGCCCAGATTTGGTTGAAATTCTGAAACAAGGTTACTACTGAGTCTAACGACAAAAAAAATTTGTAGTTTATGAAAATCGACCCAGTGGCGGTAGAGTTTGACTTACCGTTTTATGTTTTAGGGGGTCTCGATCATTTTCAGATTTTTTATGGTAAAGGAAAAAAAAATCGAGGAATAGAGGTTGTAGCGGATGGGGGAGAGTATATCTCCTTTTTTTGGTGGAAGTACATTTTTACGCTTCCAGCCCCGCAGGGGTATTATGTAAAAAACGTAAAAAACGCCAAATGTCATCTTGCATACTAGGTAGTTTTTAGTGTGCAAATAGTTTATTCCACGTTTGCTCGCAAGTAGTGTTTATCTCTGAGAGGATGTGAAAGAAAGCAAGTTGATTGAGTTGCAAGTTCGCATCTGAATGATTATGTGTATTGATCTGCATGTGTATAAAATCAGTGATATTTGCTATGTGAGAAAATTATTACTGAATATGCTGCCAATGAAGTATATCTATTAGCTGGGCCCGACGGGTTATTTATAGGTTGTCGTTTCTGAAGACAGGTTGAGTTCAAGGTTACGAATTACGACTTTTCCCGTTCTTTTTTTGTGTTTTCGAATACTTTGAAGAGAATTACGGGAACCACCACCGTGACTGCGTTGTGTGCAATTACTGTTAATATGTATATGGCTTGTAATTCGACAATGTACAGTGAATATAATTACAATATGTCGCAGTATGTAAGTATAACATGAAGTGCAGGACTCCAATATTCGTGGGAAGTGGGCAGTAGTAACACACGGTTTCGGGGACTCACTTTACTCAACTTTACAACAAAAATAATCTTACAGATCCAACTCAACAGACGGATACATTCGACGGTTGCCGGCCGACTGCCACGTCACTTTCGGTTCAAGGTGAACCACTTTCATCGGTCTTAAGGCTACGGTCAGTCCAGAAATTATTAAGGCTACGGTCAGTCGCGCACTACATCACCCCCCTATTATATCTGAGGGATTACATTCCAGAAGATATAATACCAAACACTAACCTAATTAAACTAAACCTAATTTACAATTGGTCAGGGGTAGGGCAGCGCTTATACAATTTTAAGTTTCTAATGTTCTGAGGGCCTACATTGACACCTTCTATATTCTTTAACATATAAGAATTGGGTCCAACTATGCGCGACACCACATATGGCCCATCAAACCTCACAAATAACTTTCGGATTTCCGCATTGGCAGCGGAGGAAATTGGGTGAGTCTTCACTAAAACGGAATCCCCGACAGTAAAAGTGATAGCTTTATTCTTGTTTTCAAACATCTCCTTGCGTTTTCTAGCCTTGGACCGTAAATTGTTGGAAGCTAATTGGAGTGATGAGGTCCAATCCGGAGTGGGGGGATTACCAGGAGGATAATCAATCAGTTTAAAAATATCATTAGGCTCTGATTTTCCAAACATCAACATCGCAGGAACTTGTCCGGTACTTTCGTGGACAATATTATTTAGGCAGTGTTCAATACGTGGTAGAACACAAGCCCATTTGGTATGTTTGGTAGAACAGAAACACCTAAGCAGACGGCCAATCTCTCTATTCATGCGCTCTGTGGGATTACCCGATGGGAAATAAACGGAGGTGTAAATGGATTTTACACCCTTTTCCGCCAAACATTTTATATAGACCGCTGAATGGAATTGGGTTCCATTGTCTGATAACACCGCTTCTGGAGTTAGGATCTCAGAAAAATATCGCTCCAGCTTGTTAACAATACTTCGCGCCGTAGCTCTACGAAGAGCATAAAGTTTCGTAAACTTGGTAAAATTATCTACCACCACAAATAGCTGTGTAGCGCCTTCTCGCGACGGTGGCAGAGGACCCATTAAATCCACCGTGAGCAACTGTCCCGGTTTTTCAGGTAAAATGGCATTATAAGTGCCTTGTAACCCCTTTGAAATTTTAGTTTTCTGACAGAGCTCACAACTAGTAACGACTTGTCGGATATTTTTGGCCATTTTAGGCCAAAAGAAAAGTTCCCTCATATGGTGTAAGATTTTCTTGTATCCAAAATGCCCTAAATCAGCATGTTGTTGCTGTATTAGTGAAATAACGTATTCCTTCGGAATACATAATTTATATCCGGGGAACCCGCGAGACCCTCGTTTGAAAAGTACCCCCTTATAAACAACATACCACTTTCCTACATCAGTAATGTTTTCCTTATTAGCGTCTTTCTCCAGTTGTTTCACAATTCTCGAAATCCAGTCAGATTTTACTTGATCTACAGCTATACCCTTCATATTTTCCCTTAATAACCTATACTCATTACTTATTCTCAACATTGAAACCTCTACCCCTATCTGACGGTCCGGAACCTCAGGATCCTGTCTCCGGATCGGGTACCGCGAAAGCACATCAGCAAGTACATTATCTTTCCCCTTAATATATTCCACATCGAAATTATATTCCTGCATAAATAGTACCCACCTACTCAGTCGTGGTGTTTTCAAGGAACACTGCATTAAGTAACTTAATGCTTTATGGTCTGTTCTAATGGTTAATTCATTCCCCAACACCAGGGTGCGCCACTGGATCAATGCAAACACTATCGCTAAACACTCCTTCTCCGTAACCGTGTAATTTAATTCGGGCCCCTTCAACGTTCTACTAGCAAATGCTAAAATATGTAACTCATCCCCCTCCCCTACTTGATAGAGAAAAGATCCTAGTCCATATCCAGAACTATCTGCTTGAATGTAGAATCTCTTTGCAAAATTCGGATGTGCTAATATAGTAACTTCCAGGAAAGCCCTTTTAATTTTTGTAAACGCGAACTCCTCAGAAGCTCCCCATTCCCACTTCACTGACTTGCGCAATAATTTTAACAAGGGTACAGTCAAATCTGCAAACTTATTACAAAATCTCCTGTCATAGTTGACCATCCCTAAAAAACTTCTCAACTCACGGATATTCCTAGGCCGAGGAAAATCCTGAATAGCCTTAATTCTCTCCGGATTCATGGCAATACCGGACGATGATATCACATGACCTAAAAACTCTACCTGGATGCGCGCAAATTTAGTTTTCCGCAATTTAATGGTCATATTAGCAGCCTTAATTTTCTCAAAAATGATGCCCAAATGACGTAAATGCTCTTCAGATGTCCTTGAAAAGACAAAAATGTCATCGACATAACCTAAGGTGAAATTCTCTACTTCTGCACCCAAAACTAACTTTAAACCCCTTATAAAACTGGCAACACTGGTTGAAAGGCCAAATGGTAGTACATTAAAAACATATGTTTGATTGTCAAACAGGAAACCCAAATATTTCCTATCATCTTTTCGCACTGGCACCTGCCAATATGACGCAGTCAAATCCAAAGTTGAAAGGTAACAGCTACCATCAAATTTGGTCAGTAAATCATCTGGGTTTGGTGGTAAAACATGATCTTTTACCATGCGAGTGTTGATATATCTGGCATCTAAGCATATGCGTACTGAGTTATCTTTTTTTATGACTGTGGTGAGAGGCGATACATATTCAGTTTGCTGTAAAGAAATTATGTCTAACTCTAACATTTCTAACAACTGACGCTGAGCTTCTACCCGATGAGACACTGCAATGGGGTATGAGGCCTTAAAAAATGGTGTGTTATCTCTCATTTTTATTTCATGATTATAAACTGGCATACGACCTGGAGTTTCAGAGAAAATACCCTCAAAATCCTTAACTAGTTTCAATAGTTCCGCTTTTTCCCTTTCATCAAACGATTCCGCCTTAGTAACCACTTCTTTTATCTCGAAATCTGTATAACGATGTCTATTCCTATCCTTCATTTGTCCTTCTTGTAGAAAATTAATCGATAACTGAGCCTCATCCCTTCTTTCCAACTGAATTCTCACCTTTAAACTTTTTTCATCAACAGCTAAAACTAAATCATCATAATCAAGTTTGACATGTTCCTTTAAAAACCAATCGCTTCCTAAAATAACCGAACGGTTCAAATGTGGCACCACTATGCAAGGGATTTCAAACACACACCCCCCAATTTCGATTTTCACTAAAACCTGCTGCTTAATTCGCTGTTGCTTTTTACCAACTGCCCCCGTAACTGAGAAATTTACCACCGGCAATACCAATATCCCATTTTCATCAGAATTTATTTTCTTGTAAAATTCATCAGATATCGCACAACATTGACTACCTGAGTCTAGTAATATGTTTACTTCTTCACCATAAACATTACCTTTCACAGTTGAGGAAATCATCTGGTGTCCTTCATCACCATCTCCACCATCCTCAATTTCACTCAATAAATCCTCTCCCACATCTATAAATCTGATAGCCCTATCCTGATCATTTCTGTTATTTTCTCCCTGAGCATCTTGCCTAAAATTTCGATTACCATTATGATTTGGTGGGTTGTACCCCCCTCTCCCTTCATTTCTTCTATCACGACTAGTAGCATCAACCTCATCTAAATTTCTTAGAAATCCTTCAAGTTCCTCTATGGTTTTCATATTTTGAATTAAAACCGCCCTATGAATCTCTGGCTCTTGTGTAAAATGCTGTGACAAAAACCTCACTAACTCACTCTCAGAAATCTTGTCTATCAAAAAACTGGCTAGTTTTGCCATCCGGAGAACATAATCTGCCCTGCTACCTGATCGAAATTTACCATACTTTATTTCATAGTACAATGCACGTTGTTCTTTAACCCCCCAGTACCTATCCATGAAAGCATCAATGAAACTCTGAAATGAGTCAAAAGAATCCTCCTTGATTTCCGCCCACTCAGCAGCCGAGCCCCTCAAACACCCTGTTACTAGTTTTAACCTTGCGGTTTCAGGCACCCCAGCCTCATCCAAGATATGCATAATTTTTCTTAAAAAGTTCATTGGATGCACTGGTCCATTAGGCACAAATGTCAAAGTGTGACCCCCCAGGTCCCTCCACAGACCAACATATTGCCTACTACCCCCAGATAAAGACATCTGTAACCTTTTGAAATCATCTGCTAAGTTATTCACCATATTTTTTAACTCACTACACTGTGGTGACTCACTTTCATCCAAACTACCTAACAAACTGTTCTCCTCATTTACATTGGCTTTTGGTTTCTTCGGTGCCATTTTATCATTCATTCCAAAAACGATTTCAATCTAAATACCTAACTCTACCCAATACACAAATAAAATACAGTACCTTGCACTATAGTTTTTTTTTTCTCTATGATACCTGGACCATAACTTTTTCTTCTTCTTTCCGCTCCAACTCTGCTTCTCCCAAACTTCCAGCTCACCTCCTAGGCACCTGGATCTCTCTGCTAACAGTGCCCAACTCTCCGCTTATTTCAAAACTCCTATGTCCAAGTTTAGTTCAAAGCGGCTGTTATACCTCAGCTGATCAAACATCGGCCATTTGTTTTCCACTGCTTTTCCTAGTCGTCAGATGGCAGCAGCGATCAGACACTTTCGATTTCGTTCTCAATGGCCGACCACGCTTTGCAAAACTCAAAATGATTTATCCTTCACTGGCAAATTCCCCAAAACACTACAGCCCTCACGTTGTGCGCCAAAATGAAGTGCAGGACTCCAATATTCGTGGGAAGTGGGCAGTAGTAACACACGGTTTCGGGGACTCACTTTACTCAACTTTACAACAAAAATAATCTTACAGATCCAACTCAACAGACGGATACATTCGACGGTTGCCGGCCGACTGCCACGTCACTTTCGGTTCAAGGTGAACCACTTTCATCGGTCTTAAGGCTACGGTCAGTCCAGAAATTATTAAGGCTACGGTCAGTCGCGCACTACAAACATATAAGATTCCACGTGAAATTAATTTTCCCAACCATGGATTTTTCTTTTTATCTTTTGCATTTTTGAAATTCAGCAAATTGGCATATGTAATTTCCAGAATGAATCAGAAAAAGTGGATGAACAACTGATTTCTAGCTTTAAATACATCTCAAGTAAGTGTATTTGAGACAAGAAACCTATGGAATTATCATCAACGCAGATTATTAGCACACAAATTCTGACCATGCACCTATGCACTGCCGTTCCCTTCTAGCTATAGTTACAGCAGATGTTACATTACATCAGAGCGAAGCATTGATAGCTTACACGTACAGCTACAAAACGAGTTTACAAGTGTACAACCGCTAATGCTAAGTTGACATCTTGTAGAAAAATCTACGTTATGTGACAAAAAACCTACAAAATAAAATAAAAAAACACGCTATCAAATGCTTGGAAACTATCGACTAATTATATGAGCACCTTTAACTGACTTGATCCATCAAATTTATTGACTCAAAGGGATTATCTTGAGCCGAACATAACCCTTTATGAACTGATGCATGGGTAATATAGAGTCAACCCACTTGACGCCATTTTCTTCATTATTAAATTCACAGGCAGTGTTTAATTTGAAGCGAAAGGGAATCCATTTACATTTATCACAATAGTAATTTCTCACAGTGCTCTACCTTAAAACCTGAAACGCCAACGGCAAAAAGCAATTCACTTTAAGAGCTGCCATGCCGATAGAGCTAATTTTCAGGCTATTAACCAGTCTGGCTGCAGAAAAGTTACCGTAAAATCTCGGTAACAGAATGTGAAGGTAGATAGGAAAAACAAAATACATTTTACTGCTCAAATTGCACATGTTTTATAGCCAATAAACACTAGCATAATTATAAATGATGGAAATAAGAAAATATGTCACAACATACAAAGTAATGAACGTAGTTTTATGAAATAGTGCAGGTGTTAAGAGAACTAGAAGTTTAACCATATTTTCTCGATTGGAATATGCATATACTTCTTAATCTTTTGAACGATAATGAAGCTTAGTCGTATCAAGTTTTCAAATAAAATCGGGTTATATCCTTCCAGCCGCTTGCTGCTAAAGTGTAAATTGATTTTGTTATGAAAACTTGAGACCAAGGAAGTTCATTTTATCATTTGAATTTAGAATTGAATGCAATTCATATCGGGAAGAACTACATTAATTTAAATTGTTAGTTCTCTTTATTAACAGCTCGTGTTTGAAGTGTACTTTTCGAATTTTATTATCAGTATTTTTGATGTTAAATAGCAGGTAACTCCTACCTTATTTGTATATATTTCGTTCTTATGACTCCATAAACTCTTACTCCTTACTTTAATAATAACAGTAATAATAATACATTTATTCATCCCGTAGATCTTAAAAGGATATTGGACAAGTCATTTAATGCTTTTATAAACTGCACTTACGATTATATAAAAATATAGAACAAGTAAAATATTCTGGTTTACGCAAAACATACATAAGGATGACATAGCAGTTCATTTGAAAGTATAACAGATTAAAAAATTAAGAATTATTGCTCAGAATGGAAGCAATTTTTCAGAAAGAGCTCCTTCAGTGACCCCTCAAAGATATTTTCATCACTCATAGGTCTCAGGTAAAGAGTTTACGCCCATGTAAAATGGGCTACCTTTATATAGAGAGTTGTTTTGTGCTTAATGGATCTCAAAGATATGCTATCTCTGGTATAATCGTTATGTATGTTGCAGTTTTTCTCATACGTGGTTAGGGACTTCTTTGTAAATATGATACATTTATAAATTTACACTGATGGTAAGATAAGAATGTAGCTTTTAGAATGATTCTATTGACTTCAGCTCAAGCATTAAATAGATGATCCGTTTCTGTGCAATGAATACTCTTGCATTAAATGGTGGGTTTCCCATAATATCACGCGTGGTGTGATATTTGTGAGTGAACTGTTGCAAAATAAACAGTAGTTGAGTGATATCAAGGCAATCTTTCAATTGAAGAATAGCACAGTAGTTCTTGTTGAGTTTCTTGCAAAACTCTTTATTAGTTGTTGTCCAGCTCATGTCTCTATCATGGTATAAGCCAAAAAAAGGGCGAGAAATACTAAGAACATCTGAATTCAGTTTCGTATCTGAATTTTGGATTCCTCGACTTGAATCGGCGGCTGAAAAAAATTACTTTTATTATCAGACTTCGATTGATATAATAATGCGTTTATTGCCCAACAGTGAATATCATTTACAGAACAAAAAGCAGTAGTATAGTTTACATCGCAGTTATAGCACAAAATGAAAATATCTTAGAAAAACAAAAATAAAACAGAAAAAGAAGAAACATAAAAAACTTGACCAAAACCCATCAGAGATGTGCTCGATATTTATTCTCTAATTCACATGTACTTGAAATTTCGTTGACATTTCGGCACATAAAATTAATCGGAGCCTTCAATTGTAAATTAGTTTGTGCTCTTTTGCACAGGAAGGTATTAAATTCTGGTCATTAAATTAGGTGTTATTCTAGGAACTAGAATGTCTATCTGAGTTAACAATTCAGGACAATCCATTTTCCATTCAAAAGCTTATGCAAGAAAAGTGCAGATAACTGATATCTACGGTTTTCCAAAGACTGATAATCAAATCTATGTTACATAAAAATTAAATGTCAACTGATCAACACGTACATCTCCAATGCAATCAGTTCTTTCTAGTGCTGAATTGTCAATAGTATATCGATAAGATGTAGGCTTGGGCTTGCGACTGAATGTTACTATTTTGCAACTAGATATGTTCAAGTGCAGGTGATTTTTAAGACACCAGTTCTATAGGAAAGTGATTTCTTCCTGTAATAGAGTCCTCTCCACTGGACACTGATATATATATATCCTTTAATTTCTTTGGGTAGAAGGCAAAGTATTGCAAAAGTACACTTTTATAACTTAAAATCTCAAGCTTTCGAAGAACTTTTTCTTCATCGTCTGGAGCTGGAAACAATTATTAAAATAGCAACTAATAGTTATTAGGAGAAAATTATTTACTTACTAAGTCGGCGAGATTGTTGCTAAAATTATTTTATACTTAAATGGCAAATCATTTTGAAAGGTTTTATTTAAAATTAGTCGTTGATTGATTTTGGAAGAAATTTGGAGATTTTGAAATTATCAGCTATTGAAAATTCCCCCGACATTTAATCTTTTTTCCACTGATAACCTCCACATTATCCAACACGTGCCGGCCGACTGACATTCTACAGCAGCGTATGAGGTGTGACCTTCAAAATTATTGGTAGGTCACCCATTATGTAGTACTGTGAAGTGTGTTGCCTAATAGTAAGGCGTTTTTGTAATATATAGTGCAAGCGGTTGCGCTATTGTTAACCGATGAAGTGCGAAGAAATTTTCAAAACCTAATAGAAGTTGTTTTGGAAGGAGTGTGATTTCGATGTTATCCTATCGAACATCTGAAAAATCCGTGGGGGATCAGGACGAAAACATTGAGAAATTTTGATTTGATTTTATTAAGATAGTGAAAAATTATTGTGTGTAGATTGAGCGATTATTTATTGGGACAAATCTATGTTGGGGGAGATGTGTTGCTTTTCCAATTTTTCGCAGTTCAGCAAATATGCGTAGATGACGCTAAGTTGATTGACATCCGCTTCTTTGTTCATGCAGTTGTCTGTCATAAAGATATGCGACATTTCCAAAAACAGGCGTTTTGATAGATGTTTTACTCTAGCACCTTGATATCATTGTATCCCATTTGATGCCCTGTGGAATTCACGTGTGAAGCTAGAGCACATCTTTCTGGATGCAGTCTGGCATCACTTACATGAGAGGTTATTCTACCTTTAAGGGATCTTGAGGTTTGACCTATGTATGTGAGATTGCAGTTATTACAATTGATGAAGTAGACAATGTTGGATAGGCCAAGCAGAGGAACTCTATCTTCCATTTTGGAGAAGATATTGTTGACTGTGAGTGAGGATTTGTAAGCAATGCGGCAATTTAAAGTGTTGAATAATCTAGAAAGTTTTGGTGTTAGATCTTTAGTGTATGGTAGCAGTGCGAAACTAGTTCTGGAAATTGATGGAATGTCTGTATCATTAGGAGGATTGTCATTGTTATTGGGATTGTTGTTATCATTGTTATGTGACAATGGTATAGCAGCGGGAGAGCTGAACAAGATTCTGTTTGTCAAGTATTTTAGATAACCATTGTTCGTAAAAAGTGTTGAGAGTTTGCAAAGATGGAAGGTATTGTCAGAAATGCTAGTGACCCTTGTTTTCATTTGTTTCACCA